CCATCGTCGGCTTTCGCTGGCCTCCGACTGGCAGCCCAGCAGTGCCCCCACAGCCGCCGCAGATGCCGCAGCGCCCGGCGCCAGGGGCGACTCCTCAGATGGCCATGGGTCAAAACCCAAATCGTACCCCCAGTGAACATCCCAATCCAACCACTAAAATAGGTTCTAAAATGGGTGATGCACCTATCTCAAAATGGTACCATTGGTTTGGAACCATGGCCAGATGGTTTGGTGCTCAGCCAAGTGGTTAGTAATTAACACATTTTTTCGTAACCACCTACCTGCAGTGCACCCCTATAACCAGGGCTACTACCCATGTAGCTAAGTCCAAGACCATCTAAGTATGGGCTTTCCCCTTGCCCCGGCTTAAAAACCGTGGACACTGCACTTTTTTGTGGGGGGAGGGGGGGGGGTGCCTTTTGGTCGGGGGAAGCCAAACGAAAAGGGGAGCAAAGGACGGCACGGAACAGCTGAACGTGGATGAACCCTTGCGGCATCAGTTTTCATATTCAACCCCGACGATCCGTCTGCCCGATTTTATGGCCGCTTCGGCCCTGCCAAACGGCTGCTCATGGGTCCTACTTGCCCCTCTGTAAAAAAAATACAATCAAGCAAGCAGGTGTAGAATTGGGTGAACGTAGATGGCACGATTCTGACATGTTTAGTCACCCGCACCCACACATTTGCGAGAACGACTGTGGCACACCATCTACTTTCACCGGGTTCATGAAAGTGAGTATACAACAACAATGGATCTCGGGTCGGATCAGATGGTATTCACCGAGAAGCATGTGGCCGGCAGGAACATATACAACACATGTTAGAATACCCCACCACAGCACAGAACTTTGAAAGATGTTCGTCCAACGTATCCTCCCCAAAAAACATTGGGAACCTTAGCAAAGTGTCATTGAGGGAATAGAATCGATGTTCCAGGCGGCCTTGCAGTTCAGGTTCCATGTTTACTCCCGGGGGTGATTACTTGACATGCCGCGGCCAGGGAATCGGCCGCTTATCAACTTGGGGGGTTGATCGCGGGAAACATTAGCTCCTTGCAGATCTCCTGGTGGCTCCATACTTGGTTGACGTTGGAAGGGGAGTAAACAATCAAATTTAGCAGTTAAGTGGATTTGGATTTCAACCACTAAAAGCAAAGATGTAACAACCATGCATAGCTCCCCCTTCAAAAAAGCGAATTTGGACCCCCCAGCTCCCAGCGCGGCTCCCTTCCCAGCTACACGCTCCGCCTTTTGGGTCGCTACACGGTGCCAAGCGGAGGGCACTTGCCCAAGGGCCCCAAAGACCTCCGGACGGAAAAAAACAACCAGAGAAAACTCCACCGGAAAAGGAAGCCAAGGCGGATATCCACACCCATTTCTGGCTGGGATGGTCCCTCACTAACCTCACTAGGTCCTCTAGTAGAGAGGTTAGACTAAGGGTACCCTTTTTTTCTGTCTATTTTAGTAGGGGAACCCTCCCCAAAAAAGAAACGGTAAAAGGGCACGATCCTGGGGGACCTAGCTCATCTACCCGAATCAGTTTTGATTGTGGCTCAAACGAGCTCTGCCCCTCGATCCTGGTCTGGCTGGCCAGGCAAGCGCACGAAGAACCGCAGGAATGTACCTGCAGGGCCCCCAGATATTCAAAACAAGGGAGGCGAAAACCGGGCCTCGGTTGGCAAACGCTCAAATCCAAGTTGTTGCTGGACTCGGGAAAATATCATCAGTTTGCTAAAGGTCAAACACTTTGACCCCCCGCCAAATTTGCTGAACGTCTTGCCAGTCGGCTTACCGGTAGGGCGTTTGAAGACGCCTTCGTGTTCAAAATGCACCTCGCAGCTCATATAGGGGGAAGACTTGAAGAAATGGAAACTGCTTGTGGCTGCATGTCAACACTTGCAAATCCTTCCGCGATCCATATTTACAAGAAACTCGCATGAAACCAACCACTTCATTCAACACCACTGTTTTAGCATGTACCGAGGGTAGACCACAAAGGCGACCCTTCTTGGGCTGCCACCTTTCAACGCACATCTCACCAACAGCAGGGCACACAGAGCCACGTTAAGGACATTGCGAAAACAGGACGAGAGAGGCCTGGACATGGCTTGTTTCACAGGGAGGACACCCCCATTTTGGGTGGTTCTTCCTTCTTTCCCTGACGAAGCCCAAGAGTTTTCTATCCGGGGCCCAGCACAAGCACGTGTCCCCGATACCTGGTTTTCCCTCATACTGTGGACGAAATCCTGCACCACTTTGAAACCATGGGAAACCAATGTCGGCATCAGGCTGGCTTAGCTGCTGCGAACTGGATTTCGGGGCCCCATCCACAGCAGACTAGGTCCTCCAGTAGAGACGCTAGAAATAAGTTGGTGCCAGCTCCTTTTCGGTAGTCTACGTTAGGTAGGGGGCTTCCTCCCAAAAACGAAAAACGGGTGAGAGCCCGGGCACCAATTGCTGGGGCACCTAATCCTGCCCCACCTGGCTGTGGCTCAAAAAACCGGTACCACAATGGAACCAAAATCTGCGCAACCCCCGTCCTGTTTAATTTTGAGCCACACCCACCTAAGAAACCCTGGTGTCTGATTCGATTCCCCTGTAAATACCAACATACAATGGTTTCCCATCGTTTCCAAGAGGATTTCGCAACCATCCGCAGTAGACCCACCCCCGACTTCGGAACTTCGAGTCGGAATCGGAGCGCCGTCCAAAGACGCGCCCACGCCCAAAGCCGCAGCGCCGCTGGGCAGCCGTGCGGCCAACCTCGATTCGGCGCTCGGGCCCCCGAGGCTTCCCGAGTCCGTTTCCTTGAACAGGAACCAAGGACGATGCAACCAGTGGATTTCCAGGGGAAAAAAACGGGCATCCTTTTTTTTGGGGTTGGTATGACTCTAAAGGGAAGCCTTCCCCAAAACAAGGAGAAAAAAAAGAGCCACCGCTGGGCAACTGGGAGGAACTTGTGCAAACCGACAGGAGCTATCAGCCTGTTGATGTCTTGCTGTGCGTCCAACACATATTGCCCTCAATCCCATCTAGTCTACAAGTTGGGTATGGCTTTTGGCACAGAGTGAAATGCACAAACAGCCCAAACTACACTACTGTCACCGCTAGCTGCACCCTTTTTGGACGGTTAGAGCGAGATAGATTCCTTCCGCAAACTTCTGGGGAGAGCACCAACATCCATGAAACCTCGGAAAACGAAACCCAAAGACAAAAATGTGAGCTGGCAGGAAAGAGTCGAAGACGCAGCGAAAGGCCCTCGTTTGCTTGGACAAAGGACTTTCACTCTTCGGTTTCTTCGCGAGAGCCCCATAAAAGGGTGACACATATGTGGCTCCTAAACTGATGTTCGTCAAACAAGAGTTGTTCAAGATGAGCAGGTTCCTAAATAGCGCGCCATTGCCCCCGCAGCCCACACTGACTGAACGCTTGCCATGCAACGTCTCATCTTAAGAGGGAAAAAGCAAGTGAGATCCCAGAGGTTGGCCTGGTTCCTTGGGACACATTTGTGGCCCATGTTTCTTAGGACCTGGGCATCCCACTTCAGTCACTTGCTCAAAACCCGGTATTAAAATGGTCGTAATCCCAGAACCATGTGAAGAATAAAGAAGGCGGCCGACTCTATTTCTGGCTGCTGCCCCTTACTAACCTTCATCTACCCGAATCGGTTTTGATTGTGGCTCACAGGACTTTTGCGTCAGGGCCGCAAGGGCAGCACGGCACGCTCCAGCGTGGCAATCCTTGGCCCGAAAAAGGTGTACCCTTCCTCCAACTAACATGGCACATGTGGGGGGTACCTGGAAGACTCACTTGCCATGCTAGTTGGAGGGAGGGTAGAGCTGCGGGTTTTTTTTCATGCGAAGTTTGTTAAGTGACGCAAGCCTTGTGCAGCTAAACGTGAAGTGTAGTCAAAGTAGGCGTCTTCTTTTGGTCGGTGTCCTGTTGGTTGCCTTTCGAACGCATCCAACAAGACGCCGAGTGTTGCCACGGGGCGCAAGACTCTGAAAAAAATCCAAAGCTGGCAGGTAGAACTCGGCTACTAACGGAAACCACAGAGAAGGCCATCCATCACGGGGGTTTTGGCACTTTCTGCTTTGTTGCTTCTTGTTTTTTTGGGTGGGGAGGGGGAAGGGGGGGAAGGGGGGGAAGGGCTTGCATCCACTCCAATGAACCCAGCCCACTCCAAGGTTCTGACATGCATCGAGATCAGGCACTTACCCGGGTAAACCCCGAATCAAAGATGCATTTTATGCGGTTCGAAAGATGCCAAGAACGTAGATTTGTGATACCCCTTATGCTCAATGCGTGGGTAGAGATTGTATTTTTGGTCAGCCTGCCACATTGCTTGGGTCCAAAAAAGCGACCGGACAACCGAAACCATCTGGGTAACTCTTCACCAACCGCGTAGCAGGAACATATAGATCGACCTCAAAAACCAACATGTTTGTGTGATCGTGATGTTATTTCCCATCACTGCTTCGCCATGAGCCACGGGGACCCCTTCCAGAAAGCTGCTAAGCCAAGCACCCATTCCGTCATAGGGTCAAACATTTGCTGGTGGATTCCATTAGGGAAATTCCCCAAGGAGATTCAAAGACAGGGGTCGCTCGATTTCCCTTATAAAGCGGTGTCCATTGCCACTTTTGGAGGAGGGACCTCTGAAAGATACAAAAATACAAAGATTCTGAGGGTTGACTCTACAGCTTGCTGAATGACTTACGTTAAAGGGATACCGGGAATCAACATCATATGCGTCTGCGTTTCTATTGGTACCTGGCTTCAACAGCAAAACCGGAACACCACCACCATTTTGGGAGGTCAAAATGCTTTGACCCCGAACCGAACCCAATATGTGGATTTGTCTCCGGTTCGGGTCTCAGCCTTCAACCTCATGTTCCATCTGGAAACAGCAAATCGATGGATTTTCGGGACCCGAACAAACATACGTCATATGAGCGGGTAAACACGCCAGTTTCACACTTTATGTCTAACTCCCCCCCAACAAAAACCCCTTATAGGTCTATGTATATATATATATGAATAAAACTGGGGACAAAAACGAAAAACAAACTTATACTAGGTCCTCCAGTTGTTAACTTGCACGAGCTCAGGCCTTTTTTGCAATCCACAGCAAGAAGCGTTCCACGCTTCCCAAAACGGCTGTGAGTGCAGGTTGCAGCAACGAAGCGCTCTCGATCAAACTGGGGCATGAAAACGGCGGCTCACTTGGGGCAATAGCAGCACCCAAGTGAGCTGTCGTGTTCATGCCCCAGTTTGATCAAACACGTTTCGTTTCTGCAACCTGTGCTCACAACCGTTGTTGGAAGCCAGGAACGCTTCTTGCTGTGACAAGGCCTTGCAACAAGGTCGGGAACCGAGCTCGACTTTCCAAACCCAGGGTTGAAATTGAACAAAGTTGGGCTAACGTCAGTTTCTGCGCACCCGTAGCGCCATATGAAGAAACTCGGTTCATTTGTTGAGACCCCGTAAATTGGAAGAGTTCTGAGAATAGGGGTGGCATGAGTGTGCCGCTTTTGGTGCTAACAGTCCCAGTCTCCGATCTCATCACCGAGATGGGTGACAGGAGGCAGCAGCAAACATGTCAAGACTCACGACTCCTCGGGTCTTTTTTTCTTCGAACTGAGTCCGCTAAGTTCCAACCAATCTCAAACTTCGACCGTTTCTCCAAACTCGGGCTGTTGCGATTGGAGAATCTCCGAACTATGGCCCGTTGTCTCCAAACTCAGTGAGGGCAGTTTGGAGATACTCCAAACTCAGGCTCGTAATCTCCAAACTCTAGCCTCTAGCCAATTTCTCCCAACTCAACCTGAGTTTGGAGAAACTGAGGCTCGAGTTTGAAGATTTCCAAATTCGGGTCCGAGTTGCCAAACCCAGGCCCGTTTTCCCCCAACTCAGGCCCATTGGGGCCTGCGCTCACTCTTTAAAGTCAGGCTCCTTTTCTCCAAATTCAGCCTTTTTTTCTCTAACTCAGCCCGTTTTCAAACCGTGGATGACTGCAGATTCTCTAAACTGAGGCATGTGTTCTCCAAAAACTCAGGCCCGAGTTTCGAGAATCTCGAAAGCCAGGCATGTTTTCTCCAAACTCAGGCCCGAGCTTAGAGAATTTTCAAGCACCGCCCGAGGTTGGAGAAAACGGACCTGAGGTTGGAGATTCTCCACTCGAACTGAGTATCGAATTTTGGCAAACTCGGGCCCGAGTTTGGAGAAAAAGGGCTCGAGTTTGGAGATTCTCCAAACTCAGGCCCGTTTTCTCCAAACTCGGGATGAGTTTGGAAATTCCCCAATCTCGGACAGATTTTCTCCAAACTTAGGCCTGCGTTCGGAGATTCTCCAAACTCAGTTCGGAGATTCTCCAAACTCAGTTCGGAGATTCTCCAAATTCAGTTTGGAGATGCTCCAAACGCCGGCCCATTTCCTCCAAACTCGGGTGCGCTTGGAGATTCTGAGATTCTCCAAGCTTGGGCCCGAGTTTGGAGAAAACGGGCCTGAGTTTGGAGATTCTCCAAACTCGGGCCCGTTTTCTCCAACCTCAGGCTGAGTTTGGAGATTCTCCAAACTCCAAATTTCAATGTGTTTTTCTCCTGCAGAGCGCTTATTTTGCCTGAAAATCTCCATCCGAACGCTTATTTTCTCCACCAAAACACTTGCCGAACGCTTCTTCGCGTGTTTCACAAAATGAGTTTGGAGAAAACGGGCCTGAGTTTGGAGATTCTCCGAACTCGGGCCCATTTTCCTCCAAACTCGGGGTGAGTTTGGAGATTCTCTAAACTCGGGCCCGTTTTCGCCAAACTCGGGGTGAGTTTGGAGATTCTCCAAACTTAGGCCCGTTTTCTCCAAACTCTGAGTCCAAACTCTGAGTTTGGAGATTCTCCGAACTCGGGCCCGTTTTCTCCAAACTCGGGGTGAGTTTGGAGATTCTCCGAACTCGGGCCCGTTTTCTCCAAAATCGGGGTGAGTTTGGAGATTCTCCAAACTTAGCCCCGAACTCGGGCCTGTTTTTTCAAAACTCGGGCTGAGTTTGCGGATTCTTCAAAGTCAGGCTTGTTTTCTGCAAACTCAGGTTCAGTTCAGAAGTTCTCCAACCTCGGGCCCTGTTCCTCCATTTTCCAACTCGGAGAGCTTCTTGGCTTCGTACAAAGAGTTTGGATTAACCAGGACTGACAAGTCTTCTTCAAACTCAGGCCCATTTTCTGCAAACTGGGGCCTGCGTTTGGAGATTCTCCAAACTCAGTTCGTTTCTCCAAACTCGGCCCGAGCTTGAGATGATTCTCCAAACTCAGGCAGGGCTGTTTTCTCCAAAGTCGGCTTGAGCTTGGATAATCTTCACGCTCAGGCTTTGCAAACTCGCCTGGCTTTGCGTGCGAAGACGCGTTTCGCAAATGTATTGGTGGCGACTATCCGCTTTTCGATGGAATTGAACGGGTCAAACAAGGGTTTTGTTTGGTCAATATAGACAAGACTAAGTTCGGCAAATCTCGAAACTCAGGCTGAGTTAGGAGAAAGCGAGCTTAAGTTTGGAGAGCTTGGAACATCTCCAAGCTCAGGCTAAGACGTGGAGAAAAGCAAGCCTAAAATTGGGGCACATTCCAAACTCATCCATATTTTTGGAAACCTGAAGGCGAACTTACAAGCGAGCATTATCCTCAGAAATCTGCAACTCCCCAAGGAAAAGGGCTGCGCCATCGTGATGTAGTCACTTGCATTACCCTATTCCGGAACACTGCTCGGAGCAAATGGGAGCAGCGCTTCCCGAGACAAGCTTGCTAAGGTATGTCCGCATGTTTTGACAGAGATTTGGAGTCCTTGTTTGGCGTGTGTTTTGCTGGCACAAGGCTTGATTGGCCCGGATAGCATTGAAACGGCATGCTGTGGCATGGTCCAAGCGGTCTTGGCTTGTGGGGTTACCGGTTGAACACCTCTGTGTTTTTTGGTTGCAAACACGTAATCTGAGCTGCTTGAGGCACTGGAAGAGTGGTGGTGTGCGCTATTTTTTCTGAAACCCTTGGAACGCTTCTGCAAACTATTCCCCGGGACCTCGCGCAAGTTAACACCTCCAGTAGAGAAGTTCGAATAAGGGTACCCTGTTTTCTGTAGTATATTTTAGTGGGGGAACCCTCCCCCAAAGAAGAAACGGGTGAGAAAGGGCCTAGCTGGGGGAACCTAGTTCATGTCCCCTACCTCCGGTGACTTTCGGGAAAAAGGGGCCCCCTGTGGAGCCAACAACCTGACCCTTCGGGTCAAAGGCGCTGCTGCTCGCGGCGGGTCTTCTCTGCCGCGCCGCAGCGCTGCGCCAGCCGCAACGGCGCGCCTGGGCGCGAGGTGCGAAGGGAGCGAAGTGGAAAAACGATTCCACGGCGGACCAACATATTATCCATGTATCCAAAAATAGGGACATACAAAGTAAAAAGAACATATACCAAATTCTATCCATTTTTTTACATGTGGTTGTCAAACATAGGTGTCCAAAATGGAACCCTGGCAAGTGGAAGACGACGTAAGACCTGCGGTTTGCCCTAGCTCTTTAATTTTCAACCGCACCCATATAGAACAGAATTTGCCACCCGACAAAACTCGGGTAGGGAACCTCAGCCTAGGTGTTTTTCCACCCTGGCTTCTGGTTGCCATTTTGTACCTCTCTTGCCAAATTTTGGGTATGGAAAAGCCACCCTTGGAGGGTGTAATCAAAGGAAGTTTAGAAGGAAACTTCCGAGTTACGGAAACTAATTGAAAGCTAGATGGTGCAGGGAAGGAAGAAGAAAGAATGAAAGGCGCGCGAGAGAAAACATACGTGTGTGTGTGGCTGGGGAATAGAATTTGCGAAAAGGAGCAAACCTGTGCGGGCTTGGTGGTGTGGAGCTGGCTGAAAGCTACCTCAGTCGCGGCGTCTGATGGATGACGGGTGCGGGACGGTCTCGGGACGGTCTCGGGACGGTCACAGGACGGGGGCGGCGCCGGGACCATTGGCACGGCAACGCAGAGGTTTCGCAAGGATTGAATTGCGTGGCAGGCGCAGCATTTTGGTGAGGTCGGGTGCAGACTTCGTGGCAGGCGCAGCACTTTCGCAAGGTCAACTTTTCTCAAGGTTTGAATTGCGTGGCAGGCGCAACACTTTCGAAAGCTCAGGTGCAGATCGTGGCAGGCGCGCACTTTCGCAAGGTCAAGTGCATATTTCGTGGCAGGTGCAGCACTTTCGCAAGGTCAAGTAAATATTTCGTGGCAGGCGCAGCACTTTCGCAAGGTCAAGCACAGATCTCGTGGCAGGCGCAGCACTTTCACAAGGTCATGTACATATTTCGTGGCAGGTGCAGCACTTTCGCAAGGTCAAGTGCACAATTCCTGGCAGGCGCATCACTTTCGCAAGGTCAAGTGCAGAATTCGTGGCAGGTGCAGCACTTTCGCAAGGTCAAGTGCAAAATTCGTGGCAGGCGCATCACTTTCGCAAGGTCAAGTACAGATTTTGTGGCAGGCGCAGCACTTTCGCAGCCGGGGCTCGAAAATCGCAACTTTTAAGTGCGAAAGTAGTACGCGAAGTCCACTTTCGCAGCTGGGGCTTGAAAATCGCAACTTTTAAGTACGAAAGTCGTGCGCGAAGTCCACTTTCGCAGCCGGGCTTGAAAATCGCAAATTTTAAGTGCGAAAGTAGTACGCGAAATCCACTTTGGGCTCGAAAATCGCAACTTTTAAGTACGAAAGTAGTACACTTTCGCAGCTGGGGCTTGAAAATCGCAACTTTTAAGTACGAAAGTAGTACGTGAAGTCCACTTTCGCAGCCGGCTCGAAAATCGCAACTTTTAAGTCCGAAAGTAGTAGACAGAGCGAGATAGAGAAAGAAAGAGATAGATAGATAGGTAGATAGATCGATAGAGAGAGAGAGAGAGAGCAAGATAGATAGATAAATAGACAGAGAAAGAGAGATAAAGAGATAGAGAGATAGATAGATAGATAGAGCGAGAGAGAGATACATAGATAGAGAGAGAGAGAGATAGAGAGAGAAAGAGAGACAGAGAGATATATAAATAGAAAGAAAAAGACATAGATAGATAGATAGATAGATAGATAAATAAACAGATAGACAGATAGATAGAGAGATAAATACATAGATAGATAAACAATAAACAGACAGATAAATAGATAGACAGACAGATAGATAGATAGATAAAGAGATAGATAGATAGAGAGATAGATAAATATATAGAAACAGAGATAGAGAGAGATACATAGATAGGTAGATAGATAGAGAAATAAATAGATAGATAGATAGATAGATAGATAGATAGACAAATAGATAGAGAGGTAGATGGATAGATAGACAGATAGGTAGAGAGAATGAGATAGAGAGGTAGATAGAGAGATGGATAGATAAGTAGATCTATAGATATAAGTAGAAATATAGATAGATAGATAGAGAGATAGAGAGATACGTGAGATAATGAGATATATATATATATATATAGATAGATAGATAGATAAATAGATAGATACATAGATAGATAGATAGATAGATAGATAAATAAAGAGATAGATTGATAAACAGATAGAGAGAGATAGATAGATAGAGAGATAGACAGATAGAGAGATAAACAGATAGAGAGAGAGATAGATAGATAGGTAGACAGAGGGATACATGGCGAGATATAGAGATAGATAGATAGATAGATAGATAGATAGATAGATAGATAGATAGATAGATAGATAGATAGATAGATAGATAGATAGATAGATAGATAGATAGATAGATAGAGAGAGAGAGAGAGAGATAGATAGATAGATAGATAGATAGATAGATAGATAGATAGATAGATAGATAGATAGATATATAGATAGATACGCGGGAGATAGATGGAGAGATAGATGAATAGATAGACAGATAGATAGAAAGAGATACATAAATATATAGAGAAACAAAAAGAGAGGTAGATAGATAGAAAGAAAGAGAGATAGAGAGATAGAAAGATAGAAAGAAAGAGAGATAGAGAGATAGATAGACAGACAGATAGAGAAAGAGAGAGACAGAGATAGAGGGATATAGAGAGATGGATAGATAGAGAGATAGAGAGATAGGTAGATAGATATAGATAGATAGTTAGATAGATAGATAGATAGATAGATAGATAGATAGATAGATAGATAGATAGATAGATAGATAGATAGATAGATAGATAGATAGATAGATAGATAGATAGATAGATAGATAGATAGATAGATAGATAGATAGATAGATAGATAGATATTATATAGATAGATAGATAGATAGAGAGATAGAGAGATAGGTAGATAGATAGATAAGCAGATAGATAGATAACACGAGAGATAGATAGATAGGTAGCTAGGTATAGATAGGTAGAGAAAGATAGATAGACAAGCAAACGAAAGAAAGAAAGAAAAGACAGATAGAACGAAGGAAAGAAGGGAGGAAGGAAGGAAAGAAAGGAAAGAAAGGAAGAAAGGAAGAATGACGGAGAAAAAGAGTCAAGAAAAGAAAGAGAAAGAGAACTATAGCTTTTATATTATTGAAACTTCCGCCCACCGGCTTCGCCGGCTCTACTGGTAATTGTAATATGTGTCTGTCCCGACTAAGACCTCGACGAACACCTCTTGATCCAGAATCATTGTGGGAATAGGGATCGCTACTGTTGGACAAAATCTACTTCGCACCAGCTGGGATGGAAGCCTTGCGACACATGCGATAACCACCTAGCAGAATTCGGAACCTCCACGTATGGGTTCACTTGGCCGCCTCAGCTTGGTTCGAACTGGGGGAAGATGCTAGGCCATGATATTCAAGGCGAGCCCCCTCCCCAAAGCCATCCCCTCCAAACGTGTGTCCTCAAAATAACTAAAAGGATGGGTGGACAACCAAAGGCTTCGCCATGCAGACGATGCGGAGAAGGTTCTTTGAGCAGAGGAGGTTTCTGTGTGCGGGAAACCAAAGGGAGCCCGCCGAGTTTTGATGTTCCCATGCCAGAAGCCACACCATCTCCCCGAAAATCGGGAGATGCACACCTAGGTCCTCTAGTACAAAGGAAGAATAAGGCTGCCCTTTTTCTGTAGTCTATGAAAGTAGGGGATCAACATCTTGTCCAAAACCGAGGCCCAAAACGAGCCGAGGCCGGCTCCCTCCAGATTGGTGGGGTCCTTCTTGGCGGCAATCGCGGCTGCCTGTTCACCTAAGGCTGGAAGCTTTGGGCATGGCTCGGTGTCTTTGAGGGCTTGATGTTCTTCTCTCCAAGCCCCCAAAAATCACCCTTCAAAACAGCCCCAAAGGGAATTGTGTGGGTTGTCTATCAAAGGGCAACACCCAAGATGGTTGCTTCCCTTTTCGTTTTCCCTCGAAGAGGGTACCAACTCGAAAGACGGGCCAATGCGCTGTGCGAGGTCCCCGCCTTTGGCACCGTGCAAGACCTTGCGCACGATCCCCACATCCTGCCATGAGATTCGCACATTTTTCTCTAGGGCACAGACTCGTACATGTGTTTCTTCTTCCACCAGAAACATCAATGTACAACTCACGGGTCGACGGTCCGACCCTTCCCCCCGCACGAAGTACTGGGACGCCCAACTTTCCACACCCGGACAACGCAATGCATGCGCGAAAGCTTCCAAACCTCGCAGGAAACCCAAGCGCCATGTTGATATTGCCCAAGCGAAGCAAGCATTGCAAAGGGCATTGGCCAGCTGCGCTTCAGAGTTTCTTCAACATGATCTCATCTTTTTCGACGGCCCCCAACATGGTGGCTTTCCTTTTCACCAAACAAGGGGGACCCTCAAAAAAAGACCCATTTCGATATTTAGGTCAGCGTCCACGCTCGATTTTCCTTTAAACACCCAGGGTGGCACTAGTCACCAGACCCACCCGGTGGTTGAACGAAATCTATGGGCTGACTTCATGCGCCCGGCAAACCTGTGAGAAATGTGGCTCATTGGATTCTCGGGCTTATTATGACCCGAGAAGCGTGAAAGAGGGACGCTGAAATGGACCCATGCTCTTGCTGTCTCCGAACTGGGGCTGGGAGCGCCGAAGTCCTACTTTCCCCATGTCTTCCCCCATTTTCCTTGACTGAAGCCATGTCTTGAGCCTAGAGCCCTGCCCGGAAGCCTGAAGCCCAGGTCGACTTCCCTCCAGCAGCAGCCAGTCACCTTTGACCTCAGGTAGCTTTGTCTCACCCGAAGGAACCCGTCACGTTGCCAAACCCTCAAGGTTCAGGTTAGAGGGAAGCTGAAAAGTGGGTCTCCTCTTGAAAGAACCCACCACAACAGAAAGTTGCCGAAAGTTGACACGCTATGCTGATGGCCCTGGTCATCTTGTACCGCACGACATGAAGATCCCATTCTTCGGAGTTCGTGAGGGCTATCTCTGGAAGCCAGAGATATCTTCATGTCCCCTACCTCCGGTGACTTTCGGGCAAAAGGGGCCCTGTAGAGATCGGATCGACCCTGCAAACCTGCCCCATAAGTTCTGAGGCGAGCATCCCAGAAGGCCAAGCCGGACGCTGGTTGAGGAAGATGCACTGAGAACGCATTCTGTGATGTGTGGTTGCCATGACCTAGAAGACTTCACCAGACGGGCTGAAACGAGAGGCTTCCATCGGCAACTTCCGAGCATTTCATGTGCGAGCAGGCGGCGTAGCTCTTGTCTGACTTCCGGAAGTCGTGGCGATAGGGCATGATGTGACCCACCTAGGATCCAAAAGCATGTGACGGCCCTAGATGTCTCCCCCCCCCCCCCCGGGCCCCCACCCCGCAAAAGAAAAAGAAACAGTAACATAATGACACCACGAAGCTATCCTCAACTCCCCCTCCAAAAACCTGCAAGCCGAAGAAACCGCACCGCTGGGCGCCAAGACCAATCTGATCAGGAAGTGGGCGGGCACAAACAACGATTTCGGCCCAGTTCGGCCAGGCAGGGCAATAGGGCATGCGACTGGGCCTGTGAAGTGTATCGCATACAAGACAGGGATCCTTACAGGGAATACACCTGAACATTGCCTTGGACATGGTAGTTTCCCTTTATTTTGGTGGAACAAGCCATGTTTCCAATGGGCAAAATGTATCTTTTTAAGGAGCCCCGCAAAACTAGACACGTTTGTGTATAGTCACCCGCACTACAGACTTAGTTTGCAATGCTCGAGGACAATGCCACAAGACCCTTCGGGGCCTATCTCATGACCATGTCCATGGGTCGAAGATGGGTTCCATCCTCAAACCGCTACTAAGGCCACATGGGTCACATGGGGCATTGAAACGTTCTCCAGCCACGTCGCAAAATGATATAAACCCGATGTCCTCTTGGCACGGAGCTGTTTCTTCCTTGCAGAGTGGTTTGGGCGTGGAAACCATCTTCTGATCTGGGGTCTCTAAGCCTCGAAATAACGCCAACTAGTCAATTCCAGATGGCCACGAAGACGTGAAGACGTCAAGAGCCATCGAATGTTGCAGAACTGGCTCGCGACACGTGACAGATGGGTTTCAAGGCCCCTAAGGCCCCCCAGGAGGGCGCAATTGCGGGGCCAACCGACCTGACTTGCGGCTCCCCAACATATGGCCATGGGTCAAAAGCCCGGTTATTTTTCGGTGAACATCCGATTCAATCCAACCACTAAAATCGGTTCTAAAATGGGTGGTGAATTCACCTACCCCAAAATGGGATCCCACTGGTTTTGACCCACTGCCATATGGGGCTTGATCAATACTCCCTTTCGGCCCCCAGCTTTGGGTAACTTGTCCCAGTGGGAAGTAGCATCTTTTTGAGTGGCTTTTCCCAATGGTCATCCCATGGCAAAAACCTTTTGATCAACCCCCTTGTTGCTCCCAATGTCTTTTCTTTGGCTTACCTTCTTTTCATGCCCACACGTACATGCTTGACCCAAGGCCCAGGCTGTCGCAGGTGTTGTACAAAGCTCCACCAGGTAAACGGGGCCTTGAAAGACGACTCGCACTCGTGGCATGTCAGCGACGTGGCTCGTGCAAATCAGCCGTTGATTCCTGGATCTTCACGTATCGTTGAGCTGAGGGTACGTATTTTGCGACTGCACAAAACATGAGGTGTGAGTGTGATTTGGTGAGGATCATGATGTCGTGCTTTGCAACATCCCGGTCACCCGTGAGAAAGGCATGCACCCCCAGACAAGTTACATGGTACCTTAAATGGGAAATACATGGGGACTGGCTGTTGGCCGTGGCTTTGAAGGGGATTGAGCAACCTGTGTCATAAGTGACATCCAAACAGTGTCACACCAGCCTCAAATGGCTATGGGGGTCAAAAATGGGTACCCAAAATAGAACCCTGGCAAATGGAACCAAGGACTAAAACTTGACCCATAATTACCCAAATCATGACAGAGTTCAAGAAGCGTCGGGTCGTCATGACAAATCAGCCTGCTGAAGCCTTGGGGCTGCCATTCGCCTTTTGTCCGCAGTCGCGCAGGTGTCCTTTTCTCGTAAGCAATTGGCCCTGATGATTGAACCACCAGGTAAACCAGGACTCGTCGACCAAACCCACCAGAAAGGACACGTATCAGGCCATCAACTGGACCGCCATAAATGGGTTTCTAGACCTGAGATCTCTTTCCCCTTTCCGCTTTCTCCTCGCCAAGAGGCTCTCCACCCGGGGCCAGCTCGACAGCCGCGAAGCTTCCACGAAGCCTAAGGTCGCCATGCTTGGATGGTCTGGGAGTTAGCTAAAGGACTAGTAACCCTGGTTGCAACCCACTTACAAAGGTTGTAAGTCCCCTGTGACTAGTGTTAGTAACCATTTAGCTAAGTCCCAGACCATCTAAGTAGGACTCACAACCGAAGGCAGCTGAAGGGAAACCAAAGGCAGGCTGCAGGTTGTCTAAGCAATGGAAGTTCAGAATGGTTCAAAGCACGCACGCTGGCACATGACAATGAGAAGCACACCCGCTCACGCGCGTCACGTCAGAGCTGCCTGGGAAGCACACCCGCTCACGTGCATCACGTCAGAGCTGCACGCACGCTGGCACATGAGAAGCACACCCGCTCACGCGAAGCACGTCAGAGCTGCACGCGCGCTGGCACGTGACAAGCGCACACTCTCGCGCGCACCACGTCAGAGCTACACTCACGCTAGCGCATGATAAGCACACCCACAGGCATGACGTCAGAGCTGCAGGCACCTTAGCACATGACAAGCACACCCTCTCACGCGCATCAATGTCAGAGCTGCACGCACGCTGGCACATGACAAGCACACCCGCTCACTCGCATCACGTCAGAGCTGCACGTGCGCTGGCACATGATAAGCACACCCGCTCACTGCCATGTGCGCTGACTTGGTCCAAAACAGCGCATGTCGATCTGTGCTTCGGCTGGCCTGAGTTAGTTACCGGGATGTCCCACAAACCTAGAAACATGCATACTTATCAATCTGCCTGAGAATAGACGCACGACCTGCGAGGACATGCCAAAAAAACCGCGGGTGACTATCGCAGTAAAAGGGGACACCCACCGCGGATCCTCCCACGTTGCCATGGCCCCTGAGAGGGCAAGAACAAATTCATCTTCCAGGCTTCCCACAGCCACCTTCCAGTAGGAGTGTTGACCCCATGTTTGATCAACCCCTATCTGTTACTAGGGGGTGCTGGGTTGAGTGGGGATTCAGACCACTTGTGGGTTTGCCGACTTTTTGGGCGTCCACCTCAGCTGCGGGTTCCGCATGCAACCCCTCGGCTCAGCTGGGCGCGGAGTTTCGGGCCTCCGGGCGGGGGAAGAGCTCCGCCGCGGTGACCAGGCGAAACACCAGGCGCCGGCCCTGCGGCTGGACCTGCCGAAGAATTCACCGCATCCGGCGGAAGGAGAGCCTGAGAGCGGGAATTTGATTTGGGGGGGGGGAGTTCCATGTCCATTTTAAACCCAGGGATCCTTCACCCCAAAAAACAACTCCGGAAACCGAGGGAAACCGGATCCGGTTTTTGGAAAGAACGATGGTTGAAAAGAATGAGGAATCAGCCCCTAGAAATTCCCAAACAAAACGGGGTCTACAAATGCTGGCCGCTTTTTGGATTTTGGTTGACTTCCAAAAAGGAAACTCCTCTAGAAATGGGTGATGTGGGGACTAGAACCCATTTGGCAACACCTTTACCAGGCGGTAAAATAACTGGCGGCACCAGGGTCGCTGACAACCCCCAGGTAGACCCTCAAAGGAAAAAAACAAAACAAACAACAAGTTGGCTTTTTGTGGGTTGCTAAGGCAATTCACCCTTGGCCCTTGGCAAGCGCCGAGCGTCGCCCCAAGTGCCTCTGAAACCACCCACGTCGCCCCAAGTGGAGGCTTTCCTGAGACGGGCATCCAGAACGTGTACATTGCCAGTCCGAGTCCCAGCCCTTCACATTTCGGAGGTGCGGAATCGGCCCCTCTTTACGCTATATGGCGTCTTGCATTGGCTTTCGAAAGCGTCCGACGGGCGCAACTCTTTTTCGAAAGCGGGTCCGACCTGTTGGGTTTGAAGAAAGCATGAAACTGGCATGCCCATCTACAATACAGCACACTCATGAAGAGAAACATCAAGCTTGTATTTTTATCTGGACCGTACAATCAGGGGTGTTTCCACTTGGAAGGGATTGCTTGGGTTTTTGGGGTTCCTCTTAGCATGTCCTCCGGATTGATCAAAGTTTGATGTCGTGTTACAAGAGAAGGGGCCGTGGGAGTTAAGGCTAGCTTTCGAGCCGTCCGCCATTCTGCGCGCTCTTGCGCGACAAAGTCATGGAGCAATGGCTGGAGTGGCTGGACTCTGAACCAAGAGAAGCTGAAGTGAAGCAAAAGCTATGGGCAACACGCCGACCAGGTTCTTTTTCGAGGACCTCTATGTACAACACGACAATGAGCTGGTGAAAGAAACGGCCAAGCGACCAGTTGCAAACCAGCAACAAACAAAACTACTAAACCACGAAACCGGATCAACTGTTCAGCCAGCGACATCCTGTGAACTAGAAAATCATCGCAGCCTGGCAAGTCAACGTGATTCATGGTCAATCTCCAGGATAAATACTCAGAACCGTGTCTCACTTGGATGGTTTGCTTTGGTCATCCATTCACATCAAAACGTCAGGCCCAAAAAAGACAATTGCAGGACTAGCCCCAGTCAACAATGAATACCTCTCAACACTGGAAGCGCAGAGGAGTTGGAAGACACTGGAAGATTCTCTGAGCCAGGGGAGCTGTCCACTTTCATGATTGTTACGGGACACCCAAAGGTTAGGTCGATGGACAAATCCTATTTCAGGGGGCAGGGATTTCCCTTTCAGTTGCAATGTGCCAAAGTGGCGTCTCCAAAAACTGCAGCCGTCTCCAAAAACTTTGGACATGGACTGGTGATTGTTTCGCCCATCTAACGTGGGGCTTACAGAAACCGGTTGGCTGAACCCGTTCCAACCCAAACAAAAAAAAACGCAAACCTCTCTCGGCGAGGTGCCGCCGGTCTCCTCCCACGGCTCGGGAGCCTTGACCTACATGTCGGCATCGACGGTGGGTTTTCCTTTGCCTCGTTTCCGAAAAACCCTGGGCGCGAAGGTGCACGGTTCGGGCTTGTCTCAAAATAGGAATCCGAACCCCTGAAACGGGGTTGGAAAAACGGCTCCTTCAAAAACGAGAGGAAACTCGTAATACCTGTATCTTTGTGGTTGGATTCAGTGTTTCAGCCAAACAAAAAGGACTCACCCAAAACACATCCTGAGAAGTCCACCTTGGGGTGATCATACAATGGAACCCTGTTTGCTGTGAGCGAGTCGGGGGTGGGGGGGGGGGGCTACTCCTTTTTTCCTGGATATCAAGCGGAAGACTACCTTGAAGGTCAATCATCTTTGAATCTTCATTACCCCAGACCAATATTTATTGGTAACTTGACACATAACCTCAACATGAAGGCTCCAGGGAAAAAGGTTGCAAGGCACCATTCAGATCAAGTACCTGCGACTGAGGTGGAAACTAGAAAAATGGATTGCAAGTGGTGACTGATTAGTGTTAGCCAGCATCGAGATGAAGCAATTTGCGTTTCAGGGACTTTTTGAAGGCGGCCACAATCACGCAAACTGGGCCCGCTGGAGTCATTTCTCTGTTAATGATGCATCACAGGTGCATATATAGTTTCAAGCTCTGAAAGAACGGCGTGGCAAGAAAGGACGGTCACTGCTTAACTCATGAGCGACAGGTGCGAGTTGACATCCATGTTGCTACCTCGGGTTGGGCTTGGCAGGTCAGCCGCTCAGCCCAACCCGAGTTGGGCTGATGGACCCTTGGAAACTGGAATTCTGACCTCAACATGGGTAACACTCAGGCAAACCCAAAAGCTGAAAAAAAAGCAGCTTTGGGCAGGCGAGCAACGAGTCGTTCAGGGCACCAAAGCCTCTCCCAAACTTCGCTGGTCTTCTTTGATGCGTGAAGCAACAAGTCCCAACACACCAGGCTGTCAAAGATGCGCACGCACCGCCACCCCCCAAAACAGCACCTGCGCCAGCACCCCAAACTGCATGCCCCCTGGCACCCTACCGTCAATCTTGAAATTATTCGCCCGCACTGCCATCAGCACCTCAACAGCACCCCAATCAGCACTTACACCAGCACCCCAAACTGCACGCCTACCTAGCACAATCTCGCCAATCACTGTCCCCTCTTCGAACTTAGAACCCCCAAAAGCTTCCAGCTATCTGCAAAAAGACCAACACGATCGAAGCCCCTGCGCCGCGCATCGGTTGCGTCGCGCGCCGCGCGCTGCGCGACGTGCGCGCCTTGGTGCCCAAGAATCCTTCCAGCGCCAGGAGCCACGGCAGGCCGGAAGCCTGCGGCGCGTTGACGTCCGAACGAAACCGAGCACTGTTTGTTCATACTGTGGATGGTTGCGAAATCCTCTTAGGCACCACCTACCCCAACGCAAATACCAACAAACAATGGTTTCCTATGGTTTCCAAGTGGTGCAGGAACCCCTGTTTATCAACAGTTCTCAGCCCTGGTTTGCCAGAAAACACCGGAAAACACAGTGTTGCGTAGCATGTTTCATGTTAAAATCACATCCCCACCAACACCCGGTCTCTTTATTCATAGGGGACTAAGATTAGGGGAATGGGGCCTAATTACCAAGAACTGGGGTTGATTCGTATGGAGCCAACCTTACCGGAGAAATCGCGGAACGATCGGAACGAAGATGGCGTCCTTCAGCCTTCCTTTTGGAAGCCAACTCCCCATCCGTGGTTTCAAACAGGGGTCCCCACTTTTGAACAACCCGCAAGGGGCGAGTACAAGAAACACGCCCTGAAATCAGTATGCATGTGTCTGTGTGTCTGTGTCTGTCTGTGTGTATGTGCATGTGTATGTGTACATGCAGATCAAGTTTAGCCCGGTCCCCCGAAACATAAACTTAGCATAACAGGGATCCTTACAGGGAATACACCTGAACATTGCCTTGTAAATGGTGGTGTCCCTGATTTTGGTGGAAAATGCCATGTTTCAAATGGGCAAAATGTATCTTTTAAGGAGCCCTGCATAAGTAAACGCTTTGCAGCTGATTCACATGGGCACAATTCGCGGCATAACCCATCACCTTGATAAAGACCACTCCACAAGAAAGCAGCCAGTGGACGCACTCGCGATTTCTGTGAGTTCATCGTGATGCAAATGGATTCCCAGAACCCGTTCTAGGATTTTACCCGGGTGCGGGTCCCAATCACTATTCCTTGTTCCCCTTGTTATTGGTGGGTTCCCCACTGAACATGGTCCACTACGTGTGTCTATTCAGACCAATTTGGTGACCCTCGGTCCGAGTGGCGACCTCACAATCAGGCTGCGACAGACTTCAGCGAAGGAACTGATTGTATTTTCCAGGTGAGCTGGGCAAAACCGGGGACAGCCCTTGTTACCTTATACAATGGTGTCGGATAGTGTCGGTCTTTTTTTCCTCTGCTTCGGTTTGCGCTGTTTTGGCGCTGTTGCTTGAAAGTCGCGACTTTTCAGTACAAGTGCAGTGTGCCGCATACACTCTGGCAGCTCCAGCTCGAAAGTCGCAACTTTCAAGTACAAGTGTAGCGCAAAGTGCATTTTGGCAGCTCCAGCTGGAAAGTCGCAACTTTGCAGTACAAGTGTAGCTTCTGAAGAACACTTTGGCAGCTCCGGCTCGAAAGTCGCCACTTTTCAGTAGAAGTGTGCTATAGCGTAGTGCGCAAAGTACATAGTGCACAAATACATGTTGGCAGCTCCAGGGCAGCTGGTTGGACCCAGCATGAGTTGGGTATCGGTTGGGCATCGGTTTGGGTGTTGGTTTGGGCCCTGCAAATGTCTGATTTCGCAATCTTCGTTTACATGCTTTTGCAGGTATCTTTGTTTTTCCTCCGCATCGGTTTGCAGTGTTCCGGGCCTGCAAAGAAAGCTACGACACGCGCCCTTACACGACGACAAGGAGCGGGGTTTCTTTTTCGACCCAGGTGACTTGGATGATTCACTCGGATTCACTCAGACCATTTCCTGAATCGATTCGGTCCCAACCAAAAGACAATCACGGCTTACTCCAGGTTCAAACAGCCAACCCTGGCGATGTAAAGGCGCAGAATACTCGATTTGTTGGGTTCCTTTTGTTGCTGTTGAGTTTCAGGAGAGTTTGAGTTGAGAATAATCAAAGAATAAGTCGGGCCTTCATATGAACGTTTTCCTTGCTTGGGGGTATTTCTTCTGTCAGGTGGCTGAACCATAGTGCAGAACTGCGGCTCAAGCGGTACCTTCCACGGGCCAAAGTCCACAAGACACTCTTGGGTAGAACTTGGTTGGTCCATGTGACCATGCAGCCACCTGATTGACAGCCGCTGACACAGGATGCTGATTGCAAGCATGGCTGAAATACAGCAATAGAGGGCTGGTGTACAAACAATGTTCAGGCAACCCAACTGGCCTCATGACTCTACCACGATCAACGTGAAAAAAAAGAAGCCCCTCCCGTGGACCTTGATCACCCCCAGAAACGACCAAGGTCAGCAATTTGAAGAAATGGGTATGGGTCAAGATTAAACCACCGGGACATGGACCGCAGGTTAAATCGTCCATGTTTCCATTTACCAGGGCAAGCCGTTTTGGGCCTATTTTTGACCACCACTGCCAAATGGCCATGGGTCAAAATCCAAATCGTACCCCCAGTGAACATCCCAAATTGGGTGACCATCCCAGTCAAGTTTTGTTGAGCCTGCAGGGCGATTGCGTGCCCTGGGGCATGCACTCCATGTGCCCTTGTGGCTCCATAGCTTTGCATCCGCAGTCTGATTGATCAATGATTTAGGCCACAGGTCACTCACTCACTCGCTCACTCGCTCACTCACTCACTCACCCACTCCCGCCCTACCCCTACTCCGCCCCACTCCACCAAACCCACCCGCCCCCTTCCCGCCCCCGCCCGGCCGTTGGCTTGCTACACACACACACACACAAACTCACGCACACGTTGTCATGCGGCATCAACTCACGAAGTCTCAATTCGGACCAATCATCAAAGCTATATCATCTTTGCAGTATGGCCCAACAAAGAAAAATAAAAAATGCTCCAAGGGCACAGCGAGCAATTCAACCACTAAAATAGGAAGTAAACCCCCCCAAAATTGGATATCCCAAAACGGTTTTGACCACCACAGCCACCCCCCCAGCCCGTGACGCCAGGCGTCAGCCCACCCCCCCCCCCCCCCCGGGCGGCCGGCGCCCGGCCTCGGGCACCTGCAGACTTCCCCCGGAGAGCAGCTGGAAGCTCAGGAGCTGTCCGAAGGGGGTGCTGACCACTCGGGACCTCGCAGATCAAAACGGGGGGAGGGAAGGGGGGGGGGAAAAACGGGGAGTGGAAACAAAAACAACCGGGGAGTGGAGAAAAACCAGGGGGGTTGTAGATTCTTGCTTTTTTAAAACCCCCCAAAACCCAGAATAGTAACCACCAATCCAAACCGCCAACTAAGCTTAACCTCACACATGTTGACCTCTGAACTTAAATCGACAAACAGGGTATTCGTCAAGAAGCTCCTGGAAGAAAGGAATCCCCACAAAAAAGGAGGACCGTGTTAAGAGCAATGTGGGGGGTTGATTCATCAGAGGTCCACCGAAACTCTCGATTGACACTCCCACGTGTGTACCGCGAATTCGCTCAGCCCGGGACAAGCGCCCCGCTCCAAAGCTCGTCAGGGCCCATGCGCTAAGGTTGGACCTGTCTTCCTCCACAGCTGACAGCCCCGGCAAGAAACCAAGGGAAAACAGGGATCCTCACATTATACACCTGAACATTGCCTTGGAAATGGTAGTGTTATTTTTATTTTGGTGGAAACAACCATGTTTCAAATGGCAAAATGTATCTTTTAAGGAGCCCTGGAAAAGGTGGCATGATAGCCACAAAGAAACTACCGCATAGCCACTCCGCAATGTTATTGGAGCCCCCTCTCCGCCTGTCCATCTCTATGTCTCTATTTCTCTATGTCTCTATGTCTCTATGTCTCTATATCTCTGTCTCTCTGTCTCCAGCTTGCTCTCTTTCTCCCTCCCTGTCTCTCTCGCTCTGCTTCTAGCTCTCGCTCTCTCTCGCTCTCTCTCGCTCTCCCTCTCTCTCCCTCTCGTTCCCGCTTTGGCTCTCTCTATCTCTCTCTATCTCTCTCTATCTCTCTCTATCTCTCTCTATCTCTCTCTATCTCTCTCTCTCTCTTTCTCTCTCCTTCTCCCTCTCTCTATCCCCTCTCTCTATATCCCTCTCCCTCTCTCGCTCTCTGTACGCAGTTTGCTCCAAAAAGAGTAAACACAAACAGATGCACAATCTCACACATCCAACGCCACACCTCCAACAATGCGACAACTATCCACATATTCGCCACACCAAACATAAACTATCATGCACCTCAGCACCAAGCGTTGCACATCAACAAACGCAACACCAGGAAGCAAATCTTGAAAGTCCAAGGACCGTCACAAGCACCAAACACACAATTTGATCATTCCAACATAATGCAACAACCCAAGCCCCGCTCCTCTTCCCAGTCAAACTCATCCACCTGAGCCGGCTCGCAACACACCCTCTCCAAGGATTGGGGGCCATCCGTCGGTTGCAACCAATGGCGCTCGAGATGAAACATGTCTGCCTCTTTTCGCTTCAAGCTTCGCCGGGCATCACGCGAAAGAAAAAAAAAAAAAAAAGAGCTCCCCAAAGGAGACACCCAGTTGTCCAACTGAAAGGAACCAACGGCAGAGCAATGCGTCGAGCATTGCCATGGGACAGCGGATTCTTTTTACCACTGAGTTCTCAAACGCACAGCTGCAGCTCGCGAGTCCCAAGAAGTCGCGAAGTCGCACGCTGATGGCAAGACACAATGGTTCCCCATGTCGCAACGAGGAAGCGCAAGGATGATTGACACAATTACCAATGTCGCAAGCCCAACAGGAAGATGTGGCACAACAGGTCAGGTGCCAACTTCTAGTCCAATGTGCTGATCTCAAACGATCCCGACACTCAGAAAGCTGAAAATCAACTACCAACCTGAAATAAGGTGGTTGGGGGGCTATTCCCCACCTAAAACACCATTTGGGGTGAGGTCGTGTGAGGTCGTTAGAATTCACCCAGATTATAAGTAAAGAATTGGAAAAGCAAGATTTCCGCACCATGGCCGGGATTCTCTTACTCCACTCACACGAATCGGTTTTAAGAAGAAAGTGGCTCTCGCCTAAGGCCGCCGCGTGACGATGTTGCTCTTCCTGTCACCCGCTGGGGCTTTTCTTTGGGCGTTTGAAGGGAACCAATCCCCCCCCACCCCGCCCATTTTTTTTTTTTGCACGGTACCCCTCCTGGGAGGTCCAAAAAAAAAGAAAGAAAGAAGTCATTTGCAGATGTTCAAAACGTGCATCCCAAACCTCTGTCCATCCGAGCGACTTTCACCAGACCGGGCAAAAGGAGTAAACATCCAACACCGGCACGTCAGGTGCGGAAGCCCGATCGACATGCCCAAGCTCAACATCTGCCAACATCTTCATTCGTTCCATGTGCCTTTTCTTGAAGGCCCCCTTGTTTTGTGCTTTTAAAGGGAACAAACGGGACAGCTCTCCATTTTGGTGACTTTCTGGATATGCACTTGCTATCCAAGCGGGCAAGCTGACGCCATTGCCTCTAAGGTTCTCCTATCCATAGGCCACCTTGTGGAAAAATAGATGGGTTTCCCTGGTAAATGAAATAAGACCAATCTAGACCAGTGCCATCTATCTGAGAAAACAACCCAACCTCAAAAGGTCACCTATGTTTCCTTCTGGAAGATACTTAAAAATCAAGATGATCAGAGTTGGATGTTCAAGTCAGCTGCATTGATCGCCAGCCTCTGCAAACCCGAACGTTCATCTGTTGATGCCACAAACAATGGTTCACATCTGAAAAATAAGCATCATTGAATTTGTATTCCAGGTGGTATTCACGTCTTGAGACCGCAAGGTGCCACGACGGGCAAAATGGGATTGGACACAGCAACTAGCCAAATGGCCGTGACCATTCAAGAATGGTTGCATCCTCAACTGGCCAAATATTGGGAACGGCCAACTTTCTTCCAATGAGAAGCTGAGACTTTTCCTGCAGGTCAGCGGAGTGCATCGAAGGCGTTTGTCGGTTTCTTCGCGCTCGTCTTCCCTGGTTTCTTCTTCCTGCATTCCGGCATAGTGAACTTCAGCTTCCGCGCACTCACTTTCCCCGAGAATGCCTGTCCCACCTCCTGCTCTACACCTTGAAATATGGCCAGCAAACGGCTAAACAAGCAATCCAGCGGCAGCTGCAGGACCGTCCGATCCTTGTCGTCCTTGCTGAAGTAGCCCTCAGCCCGAGATGAGTTGCCATGGAGGCACCAAAGGATGCCATGCAGGAAGGGGCCGTCGTAGGCCAGGGGGTCAAAAGCTCCATAAGGCTTCCCCAGGCTGCTGTTTAATAAGTGCACCGACCACAGAGATGCCAGATATGTGTTGATGAAGCTGGCACCAGCAGGGCAACAGACCTTGACCGAGTTGATCTTTGCTTCTGCCACCAGCTGTTGCTTCTCTTCTCGAGGCGCCAAACTCCAGAACCAGGCTCCCAGATACGGCCACGGGATGTCGAGCTTAGAGCCCTCAGCTTCAACGTTCACCAAGGTGAGGAAGCGCATACCTGAGACGCCCACTGGGGGACATCGCGTCAATGGCGTTGGTTGCAAAACACATCCCGAAATTCAACAACCTCAAAAGAAAAAAGAGCTTAAATTCTTAAGCTGGGCCAAGCTACATGCTACTGGCAGCATGCACTCGTCCGGCAAATCTCGGCAGTCCTCCTCCAACTGAGCCCAATCCACCGCCACCCGAAAATAGGCTTTCCGCAGCTCCAAGGTTGTGTTCACCACTCCCCAAGGCCAGTCCCGGAAGGGGAGCGTTAAGGCTGGAGCATGCAGCTCGACTTCCTCGCATGCAAGCCACCGGTTCGCAAGCGACCGCCTTTGCAATCAACATTTACAACCTCTTTTTCTTCAATGCTCCTTCCACAACACAACATTGGACAGTGCGAACACAACTGAACCAAAACCCATCTTTGAACCTCTCAAGAGCTTGCCTGAAGCTTCGTGGAGTTGCTCTTCCGCAATCGCTCCGTGACTGGTGTTGGCAACAGCTTCGCGGCCGCCGCCCGCAGCGGTCGCGAGGGGACCCAGGCACAGGTCTGCTGCATCTCCTCAACGAGAGCTGGCAGTGCGAAGAAGCCGTGCGAGGCCGCCATCATCATAGCACCCGCCAGCTCACCAGCGCGCCACTGCGCCAACATGGGGCCTGATAATGGAACCCCAGCGGCCACGAGAGTGGATTCACTTTCATGGAAAGTGCCATTGTAGAAAAGAAGAACGCTGTATTCCAAATGTGGATGTAGGCCTTCAGGCACCACACGCTTGGCTTCTTCGAGCAAATCCAGCCCTTTCTGCTGGCAGTCCCGGATGTAGCTCACGACCAAAGGGTAGATGGTGTCGTGTGGCTTGGCACCGCTTTTGAGAAGATTGTGCCAGGGGCGCATTTTCTCGTAATCCACAAAATCGTTGCCACAAAGGCTGGCAAAGAGAGGCATTTCGGCACTAATGCCCAGAAAGTTTGACAATTTGCCTGGCTCCAGCACTAGAAGGCCATCCTGCCAAGTTGAAATGCGATAAACAAACGTTAGCATATATGCGAGCTGCCGCGTTTGTTTAGGGTATTCATCAGGCGTAGCATTGTTTTGCGGATCAAATTTCCCCTATCTTTGTTTGTCAATTGTGGGTCACTTCACCGCAGTTTGCATATCATCTGATGTACCTGTATGGAGAACAACTTGATGACTCACAAGGAGGAGAGCAGTGTGAACATGGTGAAACGCCAGCTTTCGACAACACGGCTCCTCTCTCCGCATGCCGTAATTAAAAAACTGTGGCATATCAATGTAACCAGGCGAGTCCATGAGCATCAAATCCGAATCGCGCGAAACAACCATGCCATTCCGGTTCCGTGCGATTCCCACCACTGCTCCATCGGCATCCTCATCAGCTTGTATAGCGGCCACGCCCAGCCTCAGCAAGGTGGCTGACAACACAAGGCCGCTGAAGATTGGCGGCAACGAATCGTCCCACTCCGCAACACCACGTGCATCCTTGTCCTCCCGCACATAGTCGGCCTCGGTCCTCTGGCGAGAGGTCTCTTCTTTGTACTCTGGGGAAAGACCATCAAATACAAAGATCAGTTCCCAGCCCCAGTCCATCAGTCGGACCAAAAACTCCTCCAGCGCGTCTTGCAAGCGCCAAAGATCGCCTCCATGGCGGGAGCCGAAGTAGAAGTTCCTGCACATCTCATGGAGGAAGGAGCCACCATCCACCACCAGCACAGGCCACTCGTCCCTCCTCAGCCTGCGCCACAAAGTCTCTTGCTCCGTCGCTAGGGTATATAAACCACGCACACCCATGAGGCAATGCGCATGAAGCAATGCCCCGGAAGAAACGGCTCACGTGCTGCTACTCTGGGCCACGTGTGCTGCAGGTGTGCTGCGCAGGTTTGACATGACTCGGTTGCTTTCTGTTCCCCTGCTAAAAGCTTCACTTTTGGTGGTTTAATGGAAAACCCATTAGCTGGCAAAAAGTTAAAGTCCTAACATCCAAGCAAAATGCGACAAAGTCGAATGGGGCCTTTTGATCCCGAAGCCCGCGAAGCGCGGCGACAAAAACTTGCTACTGGTTGGCATGGCATAGACCTGTACAAATGATAGAAAACATCAGAAAATGCATGCTGAGACGATGCTCAAGCACCAGACATTGCAAATAACAAATGATGGAGATTCTACATCTGATCTCTATGAGCCTCCTCAAGGTTGCACGTCAGCCATGAGTCGATCTGTCGGCATCTGAAATCTCAGAAGACTCATGCCAAAATCATCCGCTGTCCATGGTCGCTCAAAGGCTGCGCCTTTCTTTAGGGGACCCCCAAAGATGATGGTTCCTTTGGTTTCCCTTTAAACCTACCAAATCAGGGATACACGCAAAAAAGGACCCCCATTGCCCCCAAAAACCTCATGCCTAAGACTTTCTCGGGATGCGCCTGCGCGGCTTTTCTGGCGAAGGCTTTTGCCACCTCCGCCGCCTCTTCAGCCTGCAGAGATTGCTGAAAGAAATTCATCCAGAAACCCATGACCAACCCATGCGGGCCCTCAGAATTGGCGGATTTCCCACGGTTCCCTTAGGACACCCACCCAAAAATACGGGTACCCTGAAAAAAGTGCGGGCAAACCCACCACGCTGCGGGCTGTCAGTCACTTCAGTCACTTCGCGAAGGTCTGCACAGCCCCGAGGCCTTCGCCGCCACTTCACTGCCATTTGCGTTTTCGCCCCCTGGGAAAAATGGGAAAAACATATGTCCAGTAGTGAAAATCGTTTCCCTTTAAAAACCAACAGGGGAAAAGAACAAAATTGTCGTTTCAGCAAATGGAAGGACTATTTGAATTACCAGCACCCTCCAAGGGTGGCTTTTCCATACCCAAAATGGCTCAATAATGGAAAAGCCACCCTTGAAAGGTGCTGGTACCCACTTTTAAAGTTCCTTAAGCCACGGTCCGTTTCTCTAATCGCCGCATGAGTCCTGGGGCACGCACGCGAGCTGCTGCTGCGTCCAGCTCTTTCTGCTTTCGAAGCATGATTTGGTACTCCTGAGATGGCAACGATCGGACTCACCAAACATGGGGGGTTCAAGGGGAAATCAGCCCCAACTTGATAAAACGTGTTGCGTACATTGGGTCATTGTCTTTGTCCTAGGTGTGTGTGTTTTCTTTCTTTTCTTTGTAGAGGGGGGGGAATTACTGTAGCCAAACTTGACGTGTCATTTTGACCATTTGCCCCCTTCCCTCGCAAAAGGTGGTTTAGGTCGGTGGTTTAAAGGAGCGGTTTCCCACTCGCCCACAACAACCGGGGCTTCAAATTCCCAAATGAATCCCAACCTCTTAACGGAAACCCGTGTCCAAGACAGCACTTTGGAGCATGCTTTGACACATTTCGAGCTCCAAGGTGGCGTGGGCCAGCAAGTGCTCCTGGTTTTGTCCACCTCTTCCCTATCTCTCCATCATTGCCGGGACCTTTTGGGAATCCCGCTCCTGGGTTTCACGCTGCTAGTTTCGAGGAGGTCACTTCAATGGGACCCAGCCCTACGCCTCCCCAATGGCAAAACGAGAGCAACTCGACTGAACACCCAAGTTTGGCCTGTAAACCAACCACAGGGCACCAACTCAATAAGCCTCGGTATCCCCAACAGCCCCGCAAGGCCACGGAACCCTCCGGAACGTGAAAGTTGCCCCAAAGCACCCCTTGTCGCCTATCCGGGGCCTATCGACACAATGGTTGAATCAGCCGGGGAAAACCATGCTCTGCTATTGGTTGTCTTGTTTGTGGGTTTCCTTTACACCAGGAAGAACAGGCTACCCAGTCAAAAAAGCCTTGGCTCAAAAAGCTCAAAACGGTACCAACTCAAAAGCAATCAAAAAACACCCCACCTGACGCAACCATCTGCTGCCCGGCGGCGTCCAAGCTGATGCCTCTCTTGCGCTCCCGCAGCCGCTTCATCCTCGTGCGTCCCGAACCTGGCGATCGATCCGAAATTTCCGGCGCCGCTGTGCGCCGCTGTGCGCCGCTGTGCGACGCCCATTGGGCGCCGAACCTTGGCTTCTCTTCGCCGACCTTTTCTAGGTCCTCCAGTGACTCCAGTAGAGACGTTAGAATAAGGGTACCAACTTTTTTCTGTCTATCTTAGTAGGGGAACCCTCCCCCAAAAAAGGGGCAAAAGGGCACTACTGGGGGACGTAGCTTTGGTTTCCCTTGCAGAGACCGCACTTCTGGTATTTGGCGTGTGGATGCACGAAATTCACCCCTTCGTGCCACTTTCAAAGAATAGTTGAAGCCAGTGTTTGTTGGTATTTGATAGGGGAATCATCATTCCAGGGATGCTTAGGTGGTGCAGGATTTCGTCCATCCACACATTGCGAAGGGCACACCGGAACGGCACCGCAAAACCAAAAATCTCGCCATTCGGAAGGAAACACCCTGGACACCTGCGGACACATCCCTCGAGCTGGAAGCGCTTATCTTGTTTGCATATGGCTGTGGCTGAGAAAAATGGTGCCCAAAATGGAACCCTGGCAGATGGAACCCTGGCTGTAGCGCAAACCGCGGATTTTGTCCTTTGGTTCCATTTATGCAGGTGCCTTTTGGGTGCATTTCATTGAGCCACAGCCACATGTTCTGTCCACATGCCTCTGAGGCTTGCGAACGTCTGACCACCAAAAAGCCACAATGGCAACAAATGGCACACGAGCATGGAGCCACCAAGCACCCGAACAAGGAGAACGGGCGGGGGACTACTGGAGGTCTGGGTTGTGAGGGTCACATTCCAGGCGCCCTCTGCGGGCCCACCTCTGCTCGGGCTCCGGGGGGCTTCTTCCTTGGCGCGCCCGGCAGCTTCCAAGACCTGCGAGTGTCCAGAAGTGAGTCACAATCAAAGCCCGGTATAGAAATGATTCACCCAGAACCATGTAAGGAAATACAAAGGCGGATATCCGCAACTATTTATGGCTGGGATGGTCCCTTACTAACCTTCATCTACTAATGTTGACCCAGGATTAATAAACCCGTCCCATTTTTTTGGGGGTGTTCCCTCCAAACGTGGTCTGAATCCCCGCTAAAAGGGGACACCCCCCTATTAATCAACCATGGGTTCATTCATCCGGGGTTAACATTACCTGTGCATGTGTGCGTCTACCTGTGCTTGCTCTTGTGCCTGTTGGTGGGTGTGTGGCTGTGTGTCTCACTGTGTCTCTGTGAAAAAATCTGTAGTCCGCACGGTGGGACACCACAACAAGGGATACCTTCCGGCATAACGACTGAATCGGCTTCGAACGACCCAGTCGTGGCCATCATTGCTCTAACCTGTGGCCTCTTGAACTTCAGAAAAATGGTGCTCGCCACAATGGTGGTTTCCCTTTGGCTTCTCCTTTAAAAACCATCCTAACTAACCAGGGGTACCAACTCCAGAAAACAAACAAGCTCGTGCAATCCAAGTCCGGGTTAAATGGCTGTGGGTCAATAATAGGGTAAGCCCAAAATGGCACCCTGGTACATGGAAACAATGACTAAAACCTGTGGTCCAATTCCTGGTGGTTAATTTGACCCATACCCAAACAATCCAAATCTTGGTTACTGTTGACCCCCCTGCAAAAAGTTGACAACTTTTTGGGGGTTTAGTGGAAAGCCCAACTTGACTTCAACCAAAAAGCTAAAGTCTAAAGATCCAACCCAAGAGCAGTTCAGCTAAATGAGCTCGCCTCCGCTGCGCGGGCCCGCTTCTTGCTCAAGTCCTCCCCCGGCTCCGCTTCCTCCGCGGCGGAGTCCGCGGCCGCCAACTTCCGGCGCTCGGGGACGCCTCCGCGAAGAGATCGGAAGCCCCCGGAGCGCGAGGAGAAAAGCGACGGACTCTCCGATTCGAGAGACTCGACTCGGTCGTGTCTGTTTGAGGACATGACTGGAAGTTCCCGTCTCAGATTTCGAGGGGTCCAGGTTGCTAAGAAATGATAGCGACGAAGCACAGGGCACAGTTGGTCTTGTTTTTGACGAGTGGGGACAGCTGGGCAGCTTGATCGTGGCATCTCTGGTCCAGAAGCTTCCAAAGTGGCAACCGTTTTGGGCAACCGACGCATCCGGTTTCTGCGAGTTGAGAATCCATAAACCGAAGATCCATGAAGGTTCCTATCGAGTTAGTACCATCAGGTGTAGAGGCAGTCTCAACACCAGCAATTGTTCCAGGGGGTGATTTTCCATTCTTTTCAATCATCGTTATTTTCGAAAACCTGCAATTTTCTCTGGGTTTCTGGAGGTTTTCTGGAAAGAAGGATCCCTGGAAAGAATGGGGAAGGTAGCCCTAGACAAACGCTTTGCCAGCTCATTGTAAGAAAAGCGCCATAGCTGCGGGGGGCCCCAGCTGTAAGAACACAATACCTACCGCTGCACCCAGCTGCTGCGGAAAAAGCGCCCGGAGCGCCTGAGGCCGTGGGATCCAGCTCCAGGTGGGGGATGTACTTCCGGAGCTGCTGCTTCGCCAGCCTCAGCCGAGAGTCGCTTCTCCACAAAAGAAGAGAAACACGGGGCAACTGGGTGTCTCCTGAAAAGGTTTAGAGCTGGTGTAGGCTTCATGGGGCAAGCCAAATTTGTTTCCCAAAGCGCTAAGGGGATGCTCACAAGACAAGCCATGTTTCGGATGCTGCACTCAAGCTGCGTTCTTGAAAATGGGGGTGGATTCCTGTGTCCAAAAATACTGGGTGAACGAAACCTACTTCGCACCAGTTGGTAGGTGCTTTATCCCAGTGTTCCTGGCAACTGGTGCCGGATTTGTCCATCTACGGTAGGACCCTCTTTTGGATGATTGGCAACCAACAATGAACAAGTCTTAGAGGTCCATATGTCATGTGTGGATCCGCGCCATTTTCTCTTGTCGCAAGAAACGCAGCCCCGGCTCCATACCCTCGATGCGGAATCCTTTCAGGGCCCCAGACCAAAACCTCGGAAATTCTGCCCATTTGCTTGTATCCTTGCCGGGGCCGGCTCAAAGTACTTTTGTTTGTAGTGCCCAGTTTCTTCGGAAACGAAACAACAAAGAACGCCCTTCTTTGAGCTACAGGAAAGTGCCCCTACTATGGTGGCCCTGATCCAATTGTTCTTTTGAAGGGTTAAACCAAGGGGTTTCTTGCCTAGGTCCTCCAGTAGAGAAGTTAGAATAAGGGTACCAGCTTGTTTCTGTAGTCTATTTTAGTAGGGGAACCCTCCTAACCAAAAAAGAAACGGTGAGAAAGGGCACCTAGCTGGGGGACCAAAAGGTTGCCGTGGCTTTGCCCCCCAGAGACAGCGCCGACCAAAGGTCCACCCAGAGGCCGAGGGGCTCCACCTGCTTCACCGTGCCAGACACCAGGAGCTCCTGCTCCTCCTGGCCTTCGGCTGGGAGCACCTGAGCACTTCAGCGGAGTCCTCGCAATGGGGTGTCATACAGATTTCGGATTCGGCTGTGGGTCAAAATTAAGCAACCAGGGGACTGCAGATGTTAGTTCATCTTTCCATTTACCAGGGTTGACATATGCGGACCCATTTTGGACCCGCAGCCATTTCGCCCCCCCCCAAGTTCAATTTAAGGTGACAAGGGAAGCCTCAAAAAGTGGCGTCCCTTGTCTCGTGAAGCCAACAAGAGGCTTGAATCCTGAAGATGCCTTGGGCCTCATCCCCTGATTCACTAAGGGAAACCCGAAGTCACAAATTCCCTTTCAAGAAGATCCCAGACTCCATGCACAGCTAGTGTATTACCCGTATGCACCTGGTCAAATGTTGGTGTAAACTACCTACATGGGGCTGTCTTTGTTTTGAGGGCACCCTTTCATTGGTTTTGGAGTGTCCCCTAAAAACAACCAGCCCACATGGAGGGTGTGGGGATGGGTGTAGTGTGATGTCAGTTTCGATAGCACAGAGTGCCGAATCGAAGACAATCGGATCCAAAGTCGCAGGGGAGGATGGAAAGGACTCTTTGAACCCCGCGAGTGTGTTGGACGCACCAAACAAAAAACTGCGCGTCAAAGGATTCCCTAGGCTAACGTTCCATTCGTCTATAAGTTATAGTCAACAGGACAACTAGAGCCGTGCATGGAATTCCAGGTGTCACTCATCCCTTAATTAACTCATTCCTTAAAGGGATCGGCATCATGGAACGCTTCGAACAAGCACCCAAGTCTTTGCGGAACATGACAATGATGGGCGCCAACTCGTTGTTTGTGCTTCTGAATGAGTCCCGTGGCTGGCGTCAGTTCAACTGGCTAGGCGATGTCAACACCAAGCGCCCAATGTAAACCGTTGGTGTCATGCTGCCCCAAACAGGATCCCCGAAAACGTTTTGCAAGCGGTCCCGTTCCTTACCGAGATGCTTTCAGGCGAGCTCCAGTCTCTTTCTCCAGTGTCTTGATGTTTTGCCCGGCCTGGAGCTATTTTCAATCGCATGCCCCTTGTGGCTTTTCCGACCCGACAGAACTTCTCAGCTGGTAGCTGGAAGCCTGGAAGATCATAAGTAATGGTCATGTTGCAACAAAGTGATTGCAAACGGGGAAGAAGGAACACCCCTACAGTAAGGGACCGTGATTGGGCCCAAACCTTTGTTTTAGCCCGCGTAGCGGTAAGGCGCAAGCATCTCAGACATACGACGTGCAGCAAAGAGACCTCGGTGGATTCTCCTAACGGGCAAAGACTCCAGCAAAGTGATCCCAATCCCCTTACAATGGAAAATGGAACGAGACAGCTTGTACATGCGAGTCACCCGCGGCGTGTACAGCCGAGGCGCTTTTTCCCCCAAAATGGGCCGGGTTGGAGGGAAACCCAAGAAACCTTGTCTTGCTGCCGCGAATGACCCTTATCAACCATCCCTTGTGGTTTCCTTAGGGGACCCCTGGGTTCATTCCCACATTCCCGACTGAGCACCAGCAAGTAACACATAAAGGCTGTCCCTCGATGCCAGTGCCTCGTTCAAACAACAAGACCAGGGACCGCCCGATCGCAAGCCGGCCCGGGGTATGTTTTGCAGCCAAGCTAAAGACATCCCCCTCCAAGAGCTGGTGTCAATGCCCCCAGAGATAGAACCTGAGTTGGTCGAATTGCGCGCCTTGCCAATGAGGTGCCCAATCCTTCCCACCGGTACTGAGAAGGATTGCTCCACCTCATCCACGCCTGAAGCACGGAAGGCCTGCGAAAGCCTGCGAAAGCCTCCGGTTTCTGGGAGGCTCCAAGTCGCATGTAGCTCTGGTTTTTGGTGGATGGGCGGGTTCACGGGGCAAACGCAAATCCACCTCTTTTTTGGGGCATCCGCGTAGACCTTCGATGCGTTCACCCCACAAAAACCAAAGCCTTGGACTGACCCGGCCGAGTCCTTCGTGCGTGCCATGCCGAGGGTCCCAAATGGACCTGGAGGGTTGCGAAATCCTCACCTAAGAAACCCAGGCATGAGCCCCCCTGTAGATACTAACCAACAATCAATGGTTTCAACCATGGTTTCCAAGTGTTTTTTTGCTACGGATTTCGTCCATCAAGATTTCAACCGATGTTGAACACCATGTGGCTGAAAGCTGTGGTTCTGGCGTTCTTAGGACGGATTTCTCCAGACCCCCCCCCCCAAAAAAAAAAAGAAAGAAAGAAAGAAACAGAAATTCCAAAAGGGCACGTGCGGGAGTCAGTACTTGTCATTTTGCTAAAAACAAACCTCCTGCCGCCCCCCAACCACATGTCCAGATCTTGGTCTAACTCAGTCTTCCCCAAGGTGTGGCCAGCCAGGCGCCAGGCAAGCAGAGCGCCCTTTTGCCGCTCCAAATCGCACCGTCGCGCCCCCACGATGTGGCAGAAGCCGGCGCTCCCGGCTTCAGGTCGCGGCCTTTCGGGCCAGGGCTGTGTACACCTCGGGCGGAACTCGGGTACCTTTATGCTCCCCTGCTAAAAGTTTAACTTTTAGTGGTTTAATACGGAAAACCCATTAGTTGGCAAAAAGTTAAAGTCCTAACATCCAAGCAAAATGCAACAAAGGGAATGTCAAGAAGAATGAACCTCACATGAACCGAAGCTCAGATGAAACCAGTGGATTTTCCATGGGGAAAAAGGATCGGCCACCCATTTTTTGGTTGCTTGGCTGTAAAGACGAACCCTCCCCCCACAGAGTCAGCTACACGAGTTTCGACTTTAGAGACCCTCAGCCTGTCAGCGCCTCTCTTGGCATTTTCTCAAACACCCGGACATGCCGCGCGTTTTCTTTTTTTCTCCTTTTTTCTGCCCACAGCTCTGTCCAAGCGAGTCGGAAGCTGCGGTTGGCTGGCTTCCCGGGGGTCGCGCGTCATCAGAAATGGGTCTGCGGTTTTTGTTTGAGGCTACCGCCCTTTTGGTGTTTAAGCTGCCGTTTGCGTTGTTGCCGCCATTTGCGTTGTTTGCCCACTGAAAAACCACGGAAATATGTCTAGTAGTGATAGATTCCCTTTAAGATCTTTAAGACCAAGAGGTTAAAAAACAAAAAACATGGAAGTTTAAGGGAAAGCGACAACATCTTGCGGGGGAGTCCCCTACAAAAACCGACAGACCCAAACGAGTTCGGCCTCGAGCTCGAGCGGCACTGCTTGCGCGGCGGCAGGAGTCGCCGATCTGAGCAACAGGCCGTGCCTGACTGGCACGTGGCCAGAGGCCTAGCACTGGGCCAAGAGAAACACCCGACCCACGCATCTCAACAGAGCTCATGGCTCTTCTCAAAAGAGTTCATGACTCTACCGGCCAATTCTGCCATGAGAATTGGGACCTGGGCGTGCACAAGGCTTCCCTTCCTTCACTCCTTCACGCCTCTGGCGCCGGCGCTGGTTGCGGCGGTGCCTCCACTTTCACAGCCCAAGTCGCAGGCGGCGCGGCACCTGGCGCGGGCTGCGCGGGCTGTGTGAGCAGCGTGATCGCGCGGTCGGTTGCCAGCCAGGTGAGGCAGATCATCAAGCCCGCGAGGACCACCTGCGTCACACCCAAAACCCGTTGTTTTTCTTCTTCTTCTTCTTCTTCTTTTTCTTCTCACATTCTACCCTAAACCATGCTTCAAGAATTAAGAAGCCGGAGATCCGCAGCTCTTTGTGCTTGGGATTGTCCCTTAACCTTCATCTACCCTTTGTTGCTGTTGATCCCTCTGCAAAAATGAATCACTGATTGTGGGTTTAGTGGAAAACCCAGCTTGATTTCACGAAAAAAGCTAAAGTCTAAAGATCCAAGTCAAGTACCCGAATCGGTTTTGAGCACTCGGCTCACCTCGAAGTCCGGCTGCCAGCCGTTTTCGATGCCGCTCACCAGGTACGGCAACAAGCCCGCCAGCGCCGGGCCCGGGCAGAGGCCCACCAGGCCCCAGCCCAGGCCGAAGCAGGAGGAGCCCAAGAGGAGCGGCAAGTAGTTGCCCGTCCTGGGCATAGGTGCCAACTTTTGGACAAATAGATGGGGTTCCCTGGTACATGAAATGAACCCCACCTAAACCAGTGCCATCCATTTTTAAACAAACCAACCAAATGAAATAAATGAAACATCCATCTTTGCTGGTAAATGAAATGAAACCCATCCAAACCGGTGTCATCCATTTGTTAACAAACTAACCAAAGGACACCTCAGGTCCTGGGCGGCTTCTCGAAGGTGCCGCCGCAGAGCGGCGGCGCCGTGCGGCGCTCGGCCAGGAAGTAGGCGGGGAAGCTGACGCAGAGCCCGCAGCCCATGACAAAGGCCAGGGAGGGGTCCCAGTAGCCTGCGAAGTCCAGGAAGTTCAGCACCTGGCAACATGGGCTTTTCAAAATCCCAAATTCCGGTTACCCCTCGGTGAACGGGACCCAATCCAACCACTAAAATAGGAATTCGAACATGGGTGGTGAATTCACCGAAAACCCCCCAAAATGGTACCTGGGTCACAATGAAAACAGTATTGAACTGGTCTACCCCGAACCATGCTTCAAGAACTAAGAAGCCGGATATCCGCAGCCATTTATGGTTGGGATTGTCCCTGCTCCAACCTTCATCTACCCGAATCGGTTTTGAGCACGTGGCTCACCTTGCGCTGGGAGGTCATGCCAGAGGCCCCCAGGCCCAGGGCGAAGATCAGGCCGCAGCACAGCGGGGAGACGTAGCTCCGGGGCTTGGCCGGCAGCAGCAGCACCAGGCCCAGCAGCGACAGCGAGGCTCCCAGGCACGCCGCGGGGAACTCCCAGTGGGGCGGCCACTGCACCTGTGTCACAATCAAAACCCGGTACACAAATGGTCTACCCAAACCATGCTTCAGGAATTAAGGCGGAAATCCGCAGCAAATTTTGGTTGGGATCGTCCTTTACTAAGCTTCATCTACCCCAATCGGTTTTGAGCACGTGGCTCACCTGGGCCACGCGGGGCTCGTAGCCGGCGCCGTCCAGCTTCAGCCCATGGCGCGTCAGCGCCACCGTGCCGGCGGCGACCGCCATGAACACCGGCACCGCGATCCAGCTGCGCAGCGACAGCCGCGGCAGGCCGCAGATGCCGTGGCCCGAGGTGCAGCCCTTGCCCACGCGGGTGCCAAAGCCAACCAGCGCCCCGGCCAGGCAGTACCGCACCACGTGCAGGCGCGGGGCCTCCGGGAAGGAGAAGTCCCAGTTGAAGGTCAGCACGATCAGCCCCCCCAACACCAGGCCCAGCAGGAAGAGGAGCTTCCAGAGCTGGCCCTCCCTCATGGGCTCGCACTTGCCTCAGGTGAACATATTTTTGGTAAGATTAACCTGGAAAAGAGATTCATGTAAAAGCCCCAACATTTGTCAAAAGTGTCCAAAAAGCATGGAAAAGAGATTCATGGAAAAGCCCCAACATGTCCAAAAGCGTCCTCATGGCGCCTTTGGGGCTCAACAAAACCGGCCGTGCTGCTGACGCCCCGCAGGAAGGGCCCCATGATGCCGCTGATCCCGGTGATCTTTCCATCCACCAGATAGGCCATACCGGCGCTCAGGCCGATCATCAGCCCCCCAATGCCCGACTCCACCGGGGTGAAGTAGGTGAGGCTGTCCATGGCGAGGGATGCGAGGGATGCGAGTGATGCGCAGGGGCGGAGTGCGGTGGACTGTGGGCCTTGAGCCACTGTCTTTCTGAGCTGGCAAATCTCAACTGCCACTTGCGTTGTCGCCCGCTGGCAAGAACCAACATATGTCCAGTGGTGGTTGATTCCCTTTCAAACCAACAGCGGAAAATAATATATATATATATATAAACTTAAGCAAATGGAAGTCAATGTTGAAATCACCCGCAACAAGTTGTCTAGATAGCTATCCTCTGAAAACCGTGCTCTTGGCAGGGGATCAAAATACGAGAAATGCTTGGTTGAAAGGTGACAGCTCCTTGGCAGCACGCACACGCACGCACGCACGCACGCACGCACGCACGCACGCACGCACGCACGCACGCACGCACGCACGCACGCACGCACGCACGCACGCACGCACGCACGCACGCACGCACGCACGCACGCACGCACGCACGCACGCACGCACGCACGCACGCACGCACGCACGCACGCACGCACGCACGCACGCACGCACGCACGCACGCACGCACGCACGCACGCACGCACGCACGCACGCACGCACGCACGCACGCACGCACGCACGCACGCACGCACGCACGCACGCACGCACGCACGCACGCACGCACGCACGCACGCACGCACGCACGCACGCACGCACGCACGCACGCACGCACGCACGCACGCACGCACGCACGCACGCACGCACGCACGCACGCACGCACGCACGCACGCACGCACACACACACACACACACACACACACACACACACACACACACACACACACACCAGCCCACTGTTCCTTGCTTCCCGAGGGGCGAACCCCTTGGTGTTTGCGAAGACACTGGTCCGCGAATGTCCTCCCCAAACAAACCGGAACCCACTGTTTGCTTTCTTATTCGTCAAGCTGTCCAAACCCACACGGGAATATAGTTTGTAATTTAGTGCCTTCATTGAATCACTCGCTCACATTAAAATTCCACGGCACTGAGGAAGCGTGGTCCATCATCGGGGAAGAGAGCACGGCGAGGATCACAAAGGTCCAGGAAAGCACCGTCAGCGTCTCTCTGGGAACATGTCCTGACAGCGTCAAAAGGTTGTCTCGACTTGCAAAAGGTGGCTCAACTATATCAAGCACA